AAGTATATATCAGTGCATTTTCGCATCGAATCTCTCTCAATCATGAACAAACTTGGGCAAAAACCGAAGATTGCCTGTTTTGTCAATTCACACATTTTCATATTTGGGGGCAATTTTAAAGTTGATGGCCAATGTTTTCAAAGTCAACATTTCCACAGGAAAAAATACAGCTATTTTTCTTCCAAATTCATTCATTTGTAGAGTCCGACTCTCTCTTGTTTTCTCGCAGTTTCCGTTGTGCTCTGAGAGAAACGATCATGTGTATCATAAGCGTTTGGCTCACTTCAAGACGGCAGAATTTGCACTTGCATTTTATGCCGTGTGGAAGACCAGAGGGAGTCAGCTAATTTATGACAGAATGTGCTTAAAAAATGACTGGTGAATAATATCTTTTGTAAGTGCCTGACAAATAGTTATATTTTAAATCACGCTCTTCAGCTGTCAAGTGAGCTCCAAATGGCCTAAATTGTCAGCTGTTTATCATCCTAGGTCAGCTCAAGGTCACAGACGTCAGCTGAAGAAAGTGGTGACCATTGGCCCTGTGTTGAGCGGACAAACCGGTGTTACCTAGTATTCTATGTACCGTGGCGGTGCTGCCGCCGACTGAGCCGGCATAGACCCAGCGCGGTCACGGCCAGTGGGCGGAGTTAAGTTGGGCCCGGCGCAACGTGATTGGCCAGCGCTCCCGTCCGATCCGCTGCGGTAGCGAACGAGCCTCTATCCGGGTGCAAAATCTAATTAGCATTACGAGCCTATGACAAGTGCTTTAAATCTTAACATTTTGTTAAGAGACCATATTGATGAAAATTGGCGCTTGAGCTGAAATGTCTAATGTCAAAATTTCAAGCCAATTAGACAAAAACTGAAGAAATTATCGCCGAAAAACAGGGTCTCATGGGGTCTGAAATACATAGTAGATGATTTCTAGGATTGTTTTTCACTAGACCCAATGAGACAGTAAATCCCACTTATTCCCAAGGATCCGACAAAGTTTTAGGGCCTAGATTCCTCTTTCATTTTGTGATTTTATCGTGAGATCCATTGAGATCCCAGATCCAACGCCCGGATCGATGCACATGTCTGGTAGATTGAGTTGAGTTTCATGTTTAATGACATTCGGTAGTGTTCAAGGTTACTGATGCGTGAATGATCAGTTCAAATTAGATTGAGTTCAATGTTCAATGAATATTGACTCATAATGGAATGAATGAGAGTGAAGTGCCATTGAAATACTCTTCTAAGGTGCCCTTCTTCTTTCTAACCCACCCGTCTCCACCCCCTCTGACCGTCGCTCTGCGCTCCCGCAGTCGGGCGGCGCGGTCGGGCCCATACCGGCCGACTTCCTCACCGAGAAGGGCATGCCGTCGTTCCACGACATCCGCGCCGAGTCGGAGCTGATCCGACAGAAGATCGAACACGCTAAGATGATGGCCGAGAGGGCCGTGCGCCGCGGAGCCTTCAGCGTGTCGCAGTACTACGTCGCCGAGGTGAGAGTCGGTCTGACTCCGGTCTCTCTCTCTCTCTCTCTCTCTCTCTCTCTCTCTCTCTCTCTCTCTCTCTCTCTCTCTCTCTCTCTCTCTCTCTCTCTCTCTCTCTCTCTCTCTCTCTCTCTCTCTCTCTCTCTCTCTCTCTCTCTCTCTCCTCTCTTCTCTCTCTATCTCTCTCTTTCTCTCTCTTTTTCTCTTTTTCCCTCCCTCCCTCCCTCCCTCCCATCTCCCTTTCCTCGCTCGTCTTTTTCCTTTCCATCTCCCTTTCCCTCGATCGTCCTCTTTCCTTTCGCTATTTCTCTGTGCTTCTCTCTTTCTAGCTCGCTTTCTCGCTCTTTTCTCCACCCGGGTATCTGACCCTCCGTCCTCACTGTCTTTCCAACAGAGGCAGCGGTTGTACGCCGTGTGGAGGAGTGTAACATGCGCGCCACCATCACCACCATGGAGCTGCTCCAGGACTCGGATCCGAACCGGATCGATCTTCACCATCTGCTGGTGGAAGAGGCGCAGACGCAGCTGGCCAGCTTTCTGGCCGACCGACAGAGCTACTTTGGCAGGAACGGTGAGCGAGAGATAGGCGGATTGCGGTCGGTGGGAGGTGGATGACTGGGCTACCGCAGGGTTATTTGAGCTTAGTCGCAAGATGGATCGTCAAACGTCGCTTGCTGCTTAGAAACATGTTCATTGACAAATTGTTTGACAAGTGTAGCTTCATATCCACCTCGCTTTACGTCAGGTGTGTTCTGCTTGCTTCACGCCTTATAGCTCTCAGCATCCGTCTGGCTTTATAACCCGACTTTATTTTAGGCAACGCTCTGAGTTTCTTTCTAATGCGAGGTTTTACCGGCAGGTATCCGATCGAAGAATGTGGAAATCATCACTGGTAAGGGAAGAATAGCAAGCACGGCAAGGCGAGGATTAAACCGGCCGTTGAACAGTGGCTGGAGAACAAGGGCTTTCAGTAAGTTGGGGGCGCCGGTTTAGGGCTGGGTCGAAAGGAAGGGCGCAGGGTGGGTGGTGGGTTTACAACAGTCACGTATTGTGTTGTTTTTTTTTCGAATAAAGAGATAGCCGCATGCCCGGGAAGATATAGGGTTGGTTGTAGTCGCGCACTCCACAGAGTTATCGCGTGACTCGTCATACTGAAAGTATTTTGTAACTTGCACTACTGATAGTCGATGCTCATGATACGGAATTGATGGGTGATAAATGATAGACACTGATAGGATACTATAACCGACTTAAGTGACTGCTAGCTCCTCCTGCGCAGTATCTGACGGTCGCATGTCTCCCTCTCGGCAGGTATCGGGAGGCGGACGGCAACTCTGGTATGCTGATCGTTACGGTGCACTCTGAACACATGTACCAGCCACGCAAACTGGGCTGATGGCCCCATCGATCTCTCTGGCCTCTGACGACTACTGGGGGAGGCCTCCTGGCTCCTCAGCCGCCGGGTGAGGTGCTTTGACGGCTGTCTGGTGGGTCCTCGGGCCCCCTCTCGGCCGTCGGATGGGTCCTCGGGACCCTCTCGGCCGCTGGGTGGGTCCCTAGTCCCCTCCGGCCGTCGGAAGGGGCCTTGCCGCCGTCTGTCACCCATACTATAGCCCTCTGCAATCGTATGCGCTCGTTTTTCGACCGCCTCGTCTTACCGAACCTGCTGTTACGTCCTGATACAGCGAGGATTTCGGCTGTCGTCGATTGGTCTCCATGAAGGTAAAAGGAAGTCTCAACGGAGCTTCCTCTTGCATGAAGTTACCGTCTGCTCAAGGTCGTGGTTGTGCTCACAGTTTCTAGTGTGTATGGGACGCTTGTCCCTCGCGACGTAGCATAGATTTGTTGTAAGAATTCCCATATTGGTACAATATTTACCCATTGTCACTGGTTCCTGCGCGTGGTTGCTGTTTGATGCGGCCGCGGTGTGTTCGAATGTTGACCGGGCTCGGGTCATGAACCTTGTTCGATTGCGCCACGCTGTTGACCCGCGGTGCCGGGTCAAGGTTGTACTTACATGTCTGGTTTGGAACACCGGCACCATATTCTTCATTGGAAAGCTCAGGTCCGCTAGCAAGTTGTACAAAGAGAAGGGAATCCTAGTACAGCGCTTATGTACAATCACCAGTTTGTCAATCGTGTGGAGGCCACGTGTCATTTTTGCGTGTCGTATCTCGGTGCGCATTACGTATTACGTTTGTGTGTGAATGTGTCGACTGTGTATTGTCATTTGTACTTATCTTGATGATGTTGCGTGCGAGTTTACGTGCGTTTCATCAGCTTTTACCGTCAATTGTGGTCCACTTTTATTGGGTTCCGGCTGTTGGTTGCTGGAGTACATCACTTGAATGTCCCACCGGGAATGCTTGCCTATTGTGGTTTTCATTGCATTGACCGTGTCTTCACGTTAGTGTCTAGCGTAAGTCATATCAGTCCGCATCCAGCAGTTATTTTTGTCTTTAGTCGTGATAAACGCTCGAATTGGAGCTTGCCTACTTCGGGTATACAGAGATTTACCCGTATTAGCTTTTAATAGCGTGCAAACGAGTATGGTAACCGCTGCTGTGATGCCGATTGATTTATTTTTAGCCTTGGTAGCAGAGATCTGCCAGCTGCCGCCCGCCTTAGCGCGTATTTGGAGGGTTAGTGTATGTGTAGTGTATGTGAGGTGGAGTGGACCGTCCACCGTGGACTGGGCCGCTCCGCCCGTGCCGCCATCTGTCCCAGTTCAGCGGAACGTCAGGCTGTGACGCTGGCCAGTGGGCCCACCGTCGACGAGAGTCTGCGCGCGCGCGCCGGGGAGCGGATCCGCCGCCGCGACCCAGCACAATCGTGGTGCTATTGAATCCATTCCATGGAGCATATGTGATTTATTGTGCCTATTGTGAGTCCTTTAGAGGTGATGTGCACGTCACTATTTTACAATACATGATACCCTGTGTGATCAACTGTGTATGGGACCTGGGAGTGGTAGCAAACCGAATGATGGAGTATGCGGCACGGCGGCTCTCTGGGTAAGCATTCGAACGGGGGCGCGACATGAAGTGACCACGTCACTCTTCGCTGTTGTTCGCGTGTAGGTCTCAAAGCGTTTCCTTTCTTCACGGCATAGGCATACCGCATACACTGCAATCTCAAGTCGCAAGTCTATAGCTCGCACACCCTTGCAAAGGTGTGAAGTGTTATTCGGGTCCGAACTCCGAACCTTCCCATATTTTGGTGTATCATGAGTCTAATGACAGAGAACGAGTTGGTCAAATGGCTGATATAGAAAGAAGGTGCTGTATTACATTCATTCTTCTAAAAACCGGCACAACGCACGCAATCGCCACTCGCAGCCAAAGCAAGATTGTTCAGGAACAGAAGGTGTAGAAATGGCCAAATACAAGATTCCTTTACTACTCCCAAATAGAGAACAAAAATAGAGGGAAATATGGTAGCTTTAGCTTATACGATAGATGCGCAGCTCTTACGAGATTTGGCGCAACCAAAACAACATTCCGGTCGGTCATTCCGGTCATTGTTGCAGAGCAAAGAAGTTCAAGTTCCCAAATCCCAAGTAACTTGCCAAATAACTAATAAGATTGTAGGGTATTGCCAAGTGTAAACTGTAGATAAATGCTTTTTTATCGCCGCGTAGGTCACGCTTTACTGAGGTTACGCTTTACTAGAACAAATTCCTAGCTGAACTTGTTTTTCAAGACAAAGAGGTAAGATTTGGAGTTTGGACCACATTGACATTGTGTTTGCGCCTTTTACAGGTCAGCATCTGCTTTCTCAGCATTAGTGAGTGGTGTGTGTTTGTATTTTTGACCTCTACTCTACTTGCTTATTAGTATAATAGTTGTTCTGGATTCTTCCAAGCAGATGGTTTTTTTCAAATGCCAATGCGGTTATGTGGTTGCATTGCAAGTGCCACTTTGAAAACATTATGGCTTTGCACCAACATAAAACATTTGACTTATTGTAATGTGTTAACCCCGCCCAGCTGGGGGTCCTGGATTTCCATGCCCTGCTGGGGGGGGGGGGGGTTTGAACACCCCCCCCCTTCTAACTCGGCTCCTGGGCCACGTAGCGATACGCAGAAGGCGGCGTTCGAAAGAGCGTCAAAGATAATGAGGAAATCACTTCAGTCTTTTTTGGTCAGGTCAAAGGTCAGGTCACCAGAGGTCATTGAAGGCAAAATTTCGCCGATTTCCAGGTCGAATGTCGACATTTTCCAAGAAGCCAACGCATAACTCGGGAACCAATAGAGCTACAGCGCCGCGGAAAAGCGCATTTGATAGCCCTATTAACGCCCTTTCTGAATAATTCTCTCAGATTTGACCTAACGTCAACGGTTTTGCCTGCAGGGGGCAAAAACTGCAAAAATAGCCGATTTTTTCGGAAACAGTTTTTCTGCAATAACTTTTGACCTAAGCCTTGTACGAGCTTACTTTTACCGGCATCGTGTTCCTCTCGTCAAGACGCATCGAATGAACTATAACTTGACCTTGAAAGGTCAACTTGAAAATTTGACCTCAGGTCAAGGTCATGACCTGACCGGAAAGGGTCATGTTGCATATCAGTGGATCCGTATCGTCGAGCTTAACACATATAAGGCGTTTTCATCGCTCTAGCATGCCTCTATCAAAAGTTATTTGCGAAAAACTGTTAGATACCATTCGTGACCTAAGATGACCTCAGGGCATAAACAGGGGTCACGGACACCATTTTCATATTCAGTATGTCTAAACCACTTGTAATTCAGTGTTTGGGAGTGTTTATAATGTCTTTCGTCCAAAAGAGGCGCATTTCAATTTTCTCCCATTGACTGATAATGGGGAGGTCGCAAAATTGACCTGACCTTAGGTCATCGATATCAAAATTCTGAGATATACATTTTGTACATGCTATTGCTCTTAGCAATCGCTGAAAGTTTCAAAGCGATCGGTCACTCGGTGTAGCTATGACAGACATTGAAACTTTTTTTGAGGTGAGGTCACTTCAAGTGACCTGGTGACCTGACCTTGAATGACCTTGGTCTGAAATTTACACAACATGTGTAGAATTGATGTATGATAAGGTGTACCAAAAACGGCGGCGCGGAGCGCCGCCGTTTTTGAGGTATTCGCGAAAAACCACAGGGGGGGGGGTGTTCAAACACCCCCCCCCCCAGCAGGGTGCGGGTTAAGCTAATTCACTGTTAATTGATGTGTACTTAAGCTAAGCCGAATAACCATTATCAATTATTAGGTGACACCTTGTAACATCTCTGACCCTCGCTGATGCTATTAACTAACGTTATCTCATTGTAATGGCCGTAGGTGATAGGCAGATGTGGATGTGCATGGATCTGAGCGATTGATCTATGATTTCAGTGGATCTCAACTCTCAAAGCAAACAGGAACTAGGATCTATGCTCCCATCAGATCACACATAGAAAATATGTTCGGGGTCTATGATCTCAAAGGATAGGTGGAGGATAAGATTTTATGACCAACCAAGAACAGGGATTCATGATCAGAGTGGATTCCTCTGGCTCTATAAGTCTATATCTGACCTCTTAAACCATGTTTCCATGTGATTTCATGTTAATAATTACCACAAACTATGAATTGTGATGTCTAATCACAGAATATCTTTGAAACAGAACCATTGCCATGTGCAACAAGCGATCCTTGAATATTTACATGTCAGCAAAAATTGAGTAAGGATATATGATCTAATTTGCTCTCCAGGCAAACTAGAAAGCTTGATCTATAATCCCATTTGGGTCCTAGATCAAGATCTGCAGGATCAAATCCCAGTCCCCAGATACATTTTCTTGGATCTGTGCATATGTCTGCTTAGGAGCTGGTTTTCTAATACATTGCATTCTCCTGATGCCTCTTATTACCTTTTTCATTTACTTTCAAATAAATGCCTATCATCATTGCACTTATGTAACATTGCACCAATGATTTGTGTTGATCATTTCATTTTGAGCACCTCTTCATTATTATCATACTTGTTTGTTGTTTGCAGTGCACTTCATTGTTTCTGAAGTTTGAGCTGAGTCAAACCACAAGCCTGCAGGCTGAGTGCCAAGTCTGGTCCTTCAAGATAGACCATCCATCCGATTATACTCTCAAGATTTGTGCCACCACAAGATGGCGGTGCTGCACCGGGCGCTGGTCACCTGGTTCCTCAGCCTGGTGTTTCTGATTCTGCTGGTGCTGCGGCTGGACGGGCGCACCCAGTGGAACTGGTTCATCGTGTTCATCCCGCTGTGGCTGCTGGACTCACTGCTGCTGCTGTACTCGCTGGCCGTGCTCGTGTCGCCGTGCCGCAGCGGCGTGGACCGGTGGCGTCGGCTGAGCGGCACCGTCTGCTCGGCGACCGCCGTGCTGCTCAAGCTGTGCTTCCAGATCTGTCTGTGTCTGCACCTGCAGTACCCGTCGGCCGGCCTGCGGCTGCACGCCGCGCTGGCGCCGCTGCTCGCGCTGCTCACGGGCGCCACCGCGGCGCTGATGCGCCACCTGGTGCAGACACACTGCGGCTGAGAGATCATCCACAGAGCGGCGGAACGGGGAGACCATCCCTATGCACACTGCAGCCGAGAGATGATTCACAGGGGAAACTAGCGGCTGAGCGGGGAGATCATCCTCAGAGGACAGACTGCGGCCGAGCGAACGGACTATCCCCCCCCCCCCCCCGGAAGGTTCGCTGCGACTGGTACGGGACGAGTGTGAACTGCTCTTCCGGGAGACCACTGTGGACTGGTTCTGATCCGAAGAAGGTGATAATGTCTGTGAAATGCCTATCCGATGCATGAAACTGGGGCATTGAAACAGTCGTGGCCGTATGAACGATGACCCTGGAGTTGAAACAGTGTATGTAGAAATGTTATGGGCCGAGCGACGGCCGGGTAGTTCAAGCGGTGAGGCAGCGGGCTGTGCCGCGGTCCTCACTTAACCGCACAGTCGAGACAATATCGGCCACTGGCTAGCGGGCGATAATATGGTGTATTACCAGTGTGGAGCACCCTCAGTCTGTGTGGTGGCGTCAGCTGTTCCGTTGGCCACAGCCGCTGCCATCAGACCCTCAGCGGTAAGGGTCGGAACTGAACGGGGAAGGCCTTAGTTGGCAACAAACTGTGTATTTATTGTCCGCTCCGTGAAGTGACCGACCATCCATGTGTGTGGAAGTGGGATTCATTGTGATATCGTTTTATGTATTTATTGTGATTGTTGTGATCTTGGACTTAGTGAAGCTGCTTATTGAAAATAATAACAATGTTCAGTGTATGTAATATGCATCCCTCTGTAAACTTGTACTCCGTCTCACTTGATGGCCCTCATTCGATTAGCTTTTGCTGGCGAGCATTTCGACTTGATACAACTCTACCTGATAGCTCTACCTACAACTCAACTCTACACTATTTAGCAGTGAACTATTTGATACACTTACATACCTATGTTTTGGGCCTTTGGCTCATGGCCATTTTGCACTGTTATGCTGCCTGATTGTGTATTAAATGAAATAAACGTAATGTTTTTCGTTAAGCCTTCAGTAATTTAAAATGCCGACTGCCGAAGCAGCGCCCTGATTATTGACAATACCTAATGAATGTTGCCACAGCACTGGGGTTAGTGATGCAGACTGAATGCGCATCTGACAGGATATCTGTCTCCATAGATCTTATTTGCAAAATCATTAGTCGATCTACGTGAACTGATGTAGTCTACCATCTGACCTGACCCGAACCGATGTCTTACCCGCGGCGCCGGTGACCTGACCCGATGTCTGACTCACGGCGCCGGTGACAGGTTTCAGCAGTAGGGCGTCGTGGCAATGGCGGCTTCGGGTCCCGAGAGCGAGAGATCGACTACGACCGGCCGACCGGTGCCGGGCCGCCACCGTCAAGGTGATCATGCTGGGTGACAGCGCCGTCGGCAAGTCCAAGATGATGGAGCGCTTCCTGCTGGACGACTTCAAGCCGCACCAGCACTCCCGTTCGCGGTGAACCTGTTCCGACACCGCTGCACCCGCGCAGGGCAGGGACGTGCTAGTTGACTTCTGGGACACGGCCGGACAGGAGGCCTTCAGTCGATGCACCCGTCCTACTACCACCAAGCACACGCCTGTATTCTGGTGTTTGACGCCACGCGAAAGGTCACCTACAAAGGCCTGTCAGGATGGTATCAGGAACTGCGCGAGAACCGGCCGACAATCCCTGCCCTGTGCGCCGTCAATAAGATAGAAACCCGGACGTGACTTCACGGTCCTTCAACTTCACCGAGAAGAACGGCATGCCCTTGACTACGTGTCCGCCTCCAAGGGCACCAACGTCGTGCGGCTGTTCACTGACGCGATCGATCGCGCCGTCACATACAAACTGGACCCCACAGATGAGATGGATCATATTCTGAGGAGCTGGAGCGGGATTGAGATCCTAGACCCCGGCCGGTGCTCCGTCTCGGAAGAATGTGACGCCCCTGAACACTTTGAGGGTGTCTGTCCGTCTGCCTAGTGCTGGTGTCGCTGGCTGTGCGACGTGCCGAGGCTACCGGGTCAGACTTTCCTACAATGGCCAGCAGCGTCGCTGAGCACCAAGTTAAATCTCGCTGAATGCCCCTGACTGGTGTCACTGGATGGTGATTTAACTGATTAGGGTGGCTGGTGCCAGACTGGCTCATGCCACTTGATATGTTAGGTGTGGCCATCACCAATGGGCCTTTGGTCTAGAATGATCTGTTGGCGCTGACAGCTTCTGGTGTGATGGGTCACCGACACGTTGGTTCACCATGGTGAACTGAAGCTGCTGTGATGTGACTCCGACTCGCTGGATTCCGACTGTAATTACTAGGTTGTCTAGCAAGTGACTGGATGTAGCCTGTTCCGTGACGGGTGACCCAGTCAGTGACCACTGAACCTCGGCACTCGGCAGTGACAATGCAGCCTGCCGCGAATAGGTCTATTTGACTGTGACTTCTAGATCACGGTTGAAGCTGTCATGTACGGCATGTTTCTAGTCACTGGTGATGGATATTTTCAAACCTTGACATAGCACCACTGTGGTGTATCGTGTGTTCGATATCTTACGTATTCCGTCCACGGAAACTAGTCGGAACTCGGCTCCTCTGATGAACCCGAGCCGAGAAGCTGTGTGTCGTTTTCATTTAGGTATGTCGTTTCGACATCGGGAACCCGTTTATGCTTTATTGGTAAGGTGTTGCCATATACCACTGATCTCATCAGTTTTATGGTACATCGGTAATGTCAAGGGCATTCTGTGCAGAAAGCGATTTGCTTTTAGATGTTGCACTCAGCGTTTTTGGACACATTTATTACTTTACCGTGTGACGCGAGCGATACGTCGCTTTGATGAAGTTGTACACGAATATATGTGATTAGTTGCTAGATGGTTTACCGAAATAGTAGCAATTGCCAATTGTGATGAGAAAAATCGGGATGACGGACTTGAGTTCTAAAACTGAACCGAACTCCCATGCCCCATAGGTTCCAACAGGATCCACTCAAAGTCGTCCCCAAGAACCGACCAGATAGTGCATCTCCTCATCGCAAGTTCCATAACTGTGACTGTCACGCTTCTCATCCCTTTGTGGACCGTAACAAAACGCACTCGTTGTTTCCAGTTTACATTTACAAGCGTAATGAATAACGATACAAAGATGCTGCCACAGCAGCTGCTGGCAGCATACAGCAGTCTCCCCGCTGCTGGTGACGGATGATCACAATAGCGCCCCTGGGAGACCGCTCCCCCCCCCCCCCACACACACACACAGGGGCTCTCGACACGGAGACCCCCCTGAGCAGCGGGCCGGAACAGGGCGCAAACGGAGACGGGCCGCCTGGGCTATCACTGGCAGCCACCGGCGTAAGCTGATAATCTCCCGACTGACAGACCGACACTCACGCTGTCTGACTAACAGACAGACAAGCAGACACCTTCACAATCAGACGGCCGCGCTCGTTTCATAAGCAGTTCACAGACATTCTGACGAACAAGCACACTCATATCTGACAGATTCACTCGCTGCTAACAGCGTCTCTGACGTCCACGGGACGATCAATGCGAGCCTGGGAATGAAGCGCATATGGCGATACACAGTATCGAGCCCGGCGACCCTGCCGGGTCAGGTCAAGCTGATGGGTGGGTCACGTCAGGTCGGGAGGAACGATGAGCTAGGAACCCGATCGAAACCCGGAAGCTGAACCATAGAAAGCAACCCACGGATATTGGCAGGTGAAGTTCAGTCACTAGGAAAACAAATTTCCAAGTCAATAGACGGTGAGACGGCTCGCTGAATTGGCAAAGTCCTAGGTGATATTTAAACTATTGATGTGGATTGTAAGAAAATTAAACTTATTTAAGTTAGGAGATAAAACGTTCCAAAGTCACCATGAATAATTTCGACCACAAATGTTTAAAGTAAAACAGTTTGTAAGCTCGAACCCGACTGTATGTAGCCTGTAACAACCTTTGATAAAACATTTCCCATGCTTGGGTCTGTCAAGCGACAATTTTGCTTTAAGCCAGTAACTAGGGTCCTAAGGAAAGTATGCATTGACGGGCAGTGTCGATCTCTGTAGGATTACTTGGAAGTCTGTACGTGCAAAGGATCCTCAACTTACAAAAGGTATGGTCAGGACCAAAAACAAAGTCCACAAAAGATATGTTCAAGACCTTGACGAACATATCCTCCAAAGTCATGTAAATGATAAAACACAGGTAAAAAGCACGTCTACTGCAAGG